TTAAAAAATAAAAAAAAATAAACCAAGGGTAGAACATGAACCGCGCTCGGCCCATGGCCGCGCGGTTAATGATGATAATAATAATAATAATACGTAGTGTATAAACTGAGAACAGGTGTCAAACTACAAAATACCTTGCACTACGTAGCAGAGATTTTCCCATGCGCATTTGATACATATACACATTTGGACCTGAATTTCAGCTTATAGGGCTTCTAGTTCAATTTATGAAAATACATTACTTACAACAAATTTCGGACGTTTTATTTCGGGTAAAAGTGTCGAACACTATGAAGAAAAATAGCCCAAGTACATTTAGACATACAAAAGACGAATTATACTGATACAGCATCAGTGAAAATGATAGTTTTACTGCACCCTCAAGGTTCTAGAGATATACCGAAGAAAAAAGGCAAATTCTATCAAGCCGTTAGGTATCTAAAGCAGTGTCTCAACTAGAGTTAGCCTCATAAAGGAAACTAAGAGCTTTGAAGCTACTTAAAATCTTGTTAAGGTAACTTATAATTAACAGGCCTGAGAAAATCTATACGAATCGACTAGTACAACGTTGGAGAAGTTCTCGGAGGTTTCGCTTTATTATACAATGACTTTGATTTCCATACTGCTCACAAAAGAAATGATTTTCCCTGATTGGGAAGTTGATAAAAATATATTTATTGTCGTGTGTTGTGAAAACTACTCATATTTTATACAATTGATCTCGATCGTTTATCAGTTGGTTCCTATATTACATTGTGCATTTAAAATATATTCGATAAAATTTTGTCCATTTTTGAAATTTAGCAATCAGTAACGATGAACTGCTTTTAGTGAACTACAGCTCAATGCATCCGTGGCTGTCGAAAGAATTTTAAAGAAAGTGATGTATGTGAGGCTTTTCTTTAAATTGCGAAGGTTGCAGGGGAAGATTTTGAAGCATTTACTGAGCATGTGCCTTTAAAAATACTTTAACAATTCATTTCACATGAGGCATTTCACGACAAGGTCTGTAGTTTGTGGTTTAGTCAAGGAGCTAAATATTGCTTCTCTTCTGATGGAAAACTACTTGTTCGTCTGAACAAAAATGTTAATTAATATTTAGCTAGACTTACTTGTATATTCCTTTTATTACAATGTTTCCGAGTGAAACGACGATCAAAATGTGTTGGGTAGTTAGCTTGGTTTTACTATTACTTTTTACTTTTACTTGTATTTATGGGTAACAAAATATCAGAGATGCCGCATTCGGTCATTCGATTTTCACGCCAAGAGGAAGATCTGTTTTAACCTGGGGAAAACAACTCTACCTATGTTTAACATATATAAACCAAGAGGTAGGATTTTTCAAATGAAAATTCTATTTTTTTGTATAAAAATCTTTAGAGATATAATTAAGTTATGCGTTGCTAGCACTAGCGACCTTACGAGGTAAGGGAAAGCCATAGTCATTTGTGCGATCAACATAACAACATGGTAGCAAATAAAATAATTAAAACGACAAGGGCAAAAAATGACCTTTTTTGTCGTTATGTCCTTGTTGGACGTTCTGTCATTATATCGTGAGAAATCTGACAAATATTGCACAATGTAGTATTCATTATTTTTTGGTGAAATCAAGGTATCAAATTTTGTGTTAAAACAAAGTCATTACGAGAACAGAACCGTTGCGAGACGACGGAATCAATACGTCACAACAAAATCAATAAAAAAAATCACAAGGCGCTTGGCGATTGAAATGACAACTGGGACGATAAAAACACTCAGTAAAATATTAGCGATCAGCAACGTTTTCAAATTGGAAAATATGAAACAATGCAGGGGAAACGAACTGAAAGAATTGAAATTTGAAATTCCCAGTTTTGATGATACTAATGTATGTAACCATGGTNTTTTAAAGGCACATGCTCAGTAAATGCTTCAAAATCTTCCCCTGCAACCTTCGTAATTTAAAGAAAAGCCTCACACACATCACTTTCTTTGAAATTCTATCGACAGCCACGGATGCATTGAGCTGTAGTTCACTAAAAGCAGTTCATCGTTGTGTTAAAACAAAGTCATTACGAGAACAGAACCGTTGCGAGACGACGGAATCAACACGTCACAACAAAATCAATAAAAAAAATCACAAGGCGCTTGGCGATTGAAATGACAACTGGGACGATAAAAACACTCAGTAAGATATTAGCGATCAGCAACGTTTTCAAATTGGAAAATATGAAACATAATGCAGCGGAAACGAACTGAAAGAATTGAAATTTGAAATTCCCAGTTTTGATGATACTAATGTATGTAACCATGGTAACTCGCGCGTTTGATACCATTCGCTTTCTCAAGCCACACTACCTAAGTGAGTTGTTATCATAATTCGTCGTCCTTGTCTACCGACGAGTTTAACTTTCTTATTTCAAGCTCTTCAGTCACTTGACCATTGCGTGAAACGTTTGAAGAGTCTGGTGAAGAGGGTGTGTTCGTGGGGGACATACGCGGTACATCTTCCATAACTTCAAACTGCGCATAAGTTTCTGACATGTCGATAATCCTTTCATTTTGAATCCATTGCTACAGGAAAAAAGAAATATTCGTCAGTTAATTACTGATGAAATTTCAGTGACAGAACGGACCAAGACAAAGATTATTTCTGCCACAAAAAGGGCCGCAACAACGAATTAGTGCAACCAAAGACAAAACCATCAATACGAAGTTATCGAGTAATACAACCACCTCATACCTTGACTTCGTCTGCGTACATTTTTATACTCAAATCCATTTTTGTTTTGGAACGTTTTCCTATATACCTAACCTGCAATAAAATGATGCAATTCATGTAAGAAGCTAAGATGTGTAACTAGCGTGCTGGGTCAGCGAGAAAAAGAGCAAACGTTGGACTTGTCCAGATTTTAAGTTCCATTATTTAATTCTTCTAAAACACTACAGAAAGTCTTTTTGTAATATAGGTCTCCCTAAAAGGAATTGCTTCCTATATCTAATGGGCTACAGGTTTAAAATTTTGTATTCTACATAAAAAAAAGCAAAATTACAGAGGAGATTCTTACAGGCTGATTAGGCTGCAGGTCTTGCACAAACTCTTCGCCCAAGTCCAGGAGTTCTTCATAGGTAACTGTAATTTCTTTCTTTATTTTCATGTCCTCTGTAAGAAAACAAAACGTTCTGACGTCGCGCGATGTTTTTCAAATCTTACTGGCATATTGATGTTGATTTCTTTCTTACTCGGCCAATCGATTTCAAGTTTGTCAAAGAAGTGGGACATCCAAAGTAGCTGGAAGCCTATCGATTTCACGTGTGGCAGAGTGATTGGTAGAGAGGTTTGAGAAAGAAAACAACATAAACATCAAAATGACATATGGCACAGCATGTGCCACTCGAGTACTACCCAAGTACCCTCTACTCTTACATTTATGGTGTGATGAAATGACGTACTCTATAATCAGAGAAAAGACCGCCAAAAATTTTCTTTCTTTCTGTTTTTCCCAACTTCGTTGGCTTTGGAGGCGGGACCTACCCAAGGCAGGTCACGCATGTCGTTGTAAATAACAGATTTGATAACAACCGTTCATTTTACTTTAGAGATTTGTTATTGTTTGAACTTACTTAAGCTAAGTCCACTTACCCTTCTCGTCAGTAGGATGTTCTTTACGATATTCAATTCGGAAGAGAAAAGCTTCAAGAATAAACGCTACAATGATGGTCATAACAACCTAGTGGAAAAAAAAAAGGAAAAAAAAAGAGAGACCACACGGATTTAGCTTTTAGATTGGCCGTGTGCGACATTGTAAACTAAAAAACCATAAAAGAACCAGCGCCTCGACGACCCTTTTGTTGTAGACGCAAAATCTGCGCCCAGGGCGCGGCCAGTGGTGAAAAAGCAATTCTTGAGCCTGTTCTAAGTCTACGGCAATCTCGTTCCAAGATAAGAGATGACGATCCTTTTGGTTAGCACCATGAGCCAGCATTAGTCGCAGCGGTTACTCTCTCTACGCATGTTCAGAAACCGTAATTGAACTTGAACATGAGTGCGCACATTCAAACAGGAAGTAGGATTTTCCTACTCCGGTTCCAGAATTTTCTAGTTGCCGTTTTTTTTTTTCCTTTTTCCTGAGGGTCGAGCGTTTGGTCACAGCTGACCGGCGCGGGTCTAGGGACGAGTTTGTAACAGTCATGACTCACCATCGTGACAATGTAAAATGACATGAAGTATATCCTAGCCCAGTCTGATGTCACGTAAACAATCCCTTCCTTAAAGCGAAAACATAATTAAAAGAGAATCAGAAAATATACCATGCAAAACGATAAAAGCCCGAGAAACACAAACTCTTCCCTTCCCGTTCTAGATTGTTTTCTTGATCTGCCTGAGATTGAGCCCCCAAAACTGAGCCATTTCTAAAGTTGTGACTCAACAGAGATACATCTTGTGGCCCTAGTGGCCTAAGTACCGTATGTCAATTAGTGTTGTCAGCTAGTGTTCCCAATTAGTCTATCTAGGCTAAACCTATGGACACTTAAATAAAGGTTTTACTTACTTACTTACCCTAGGGGGTTGGGGTGGGGCTGTTGCATGGACTCAAAATTTTCTAACGTAAGAGACAGCCGGGCACAAACACCATTTGAGAACAGGATGACAGATTCTGCAGCGAAAACGCAACCGCAGAGAAAGCACCTCATGTTTGTCGGTCCGTCGAACATTAAGCGAAAAAAAAAAAAATTGCACGAGAAGAACAAAGGTCGCGCGAAACGGTGAAAGGAAAAGCAGTAGTCTGCATTTAATGATTCCACAAGCAATCTTTTCTTCGACATTATTAATTACCCTCACTGAATTGATAATCTTATTATACCTGAACTGACTTACAAAATAAGACAAAAGAACTGCACCTCTTGTGTTCTTACCATAATTATCATCCAGTTGTTGACCACCGTCAATTCAAACAATGTCACTGCAGAGACACAAAACGAAAAACTTTCCACATGGTCAACAGCACTCTTATGTTTGCAGTAACTGCCTCAAAATTTTCTAACGTAAGAGACAGCCAGGCAGAAACACCATTTGAGAACACGATGACAGATTCTGCAGCGAAAACGCAACCGCAGAGAAAGCACGTCATGTTTGTCGGTCCGTCGAACATTAAGCGAAAAAAAAAAATTGCACGTTAACCACCTTGACACCGAGTTATCATCTCTTTCAATGCCAAGCTTAGAACGTTAATTCTCATTAGTGACGGTAACGTATCTCCTATAACTTCAGGATAACTCCAAAGGTGAAGTCTGCGTCGGACCATCTTACATCCATACATCTGGAGCTTATCCCGGTTTCCCAGCATTAGGGAACCAGGAGTATTTCCACGCCCCCTGGATGGGATGCTAGTCCATCGCAGGTCATCCCCACTGGACCCAGCATTAAATTCGCCGGTACCCATTTATACACCTGGGTAGAGAGAGGGGCTGTGAAAGTGAAGAACACAAGCCCTAGAACACAACACAATATCCCCAGTCACGACTGGAACCCGGATCGCTCGATCCGAAGGCGAGTGCACTAACCACGAGGCCAACGCTCCTTCACACAAAGTCTTGAGACAGTCTTCCACCTAGTTGTTAATTTTTTTGTGTGTGTTCTTTTCACATGTCGGCTTTACAATGTATTAACATCAAGAGGAAGTTCAACGGTTGTATTGTTTGCATGCTGTTACTTCACACTGCGCTACTGAGGGTTAACTCCTACCGTACGAATGCAGTAAATCGTTGAAGTTGTTTAAGTAATAATAGCCGTCTTCTTTGTATTGTTCTTCCCATGACGTGTTCCTGTAGAACGCAGAAAACAAGGCTAAGAAAAAATACTACGTGAAGGGCAGTGAAAAATCTTGCCACGACCACACTTGCATTCAGAGAAAAAATCATCGATTTAATGTCGTCCCCAATGCCGCAATATGGTAAAAAACACGAAAGAGAACTTACTGACAACAGTTTTTCAGTTCAAGTCCAGAGAAACATTCTATTCCAATGATTCCAAACGAGTAATACAGCAGAAGAATAACCAAAGCCACCCTGAGGGGAAAATGTACATTTTATTAAAAGTATTAAAGATCCCGAAACCCCTCTTACGGTTTCGAGGCCGGCTTGCAACGGTTGGTAAGGTACCCAACTTCTAGTGAATTTCGGACAAAATTCTGAAAACCCCTTCAATGTTCAAGATGGTCAGAGTTCAGTAGATGCAGTAATGCGTGACAACGTGTTCTTGTTTGCCTATAAGCGATGCTATCTAGAGCTCGTAGACTAACTGTAGAATAGTTAAAGATAAGGGAAACAATCAGAGTTGCACGTACGTGTCCAAAACAAGAATGGTAATAGGACTGAGTGTAGTCCAATTCGGTCTGTAATCATACGAGTGTTAACAAAATCGGACGACCACGAAGCGGGAGTCCGATTTGGTAATCACGAGTATGAATTACAGACCAAATTTAATTTAATAGTTATTTTTAATATGATAATTAAAACTATGGAGAATAGCTTGAAAAATGGCTGTTAAGTTCCTTTGAAAACAGTCACCTGAGATAAACCTCCCCAATTTAACAAAGTCACTAACTTGAATTGGTTACTACAGTGACTGTAATCAATGTTGAGACTGTTGGATTTAGTTGAGAGGACTTCAAATGATTGGCCCAATGTAACTGTCCGATTGTAGCCAACTGTACGATTACGCTGTCCAAGTACAACTTTGCAGATTAATTAGTACAAAATACAGCAGTTCGTGCACCAATCACATTTGAGAAAATTGTAATTGTTAAGATTAACTGAACTATTAGTCTTATCACACAGATGTGACTGAGCGCATTACCTGGTCATTCGCGGTAATAAGACACCCATTGTCTCGAACACATCACGGTATCTCTGCTTTAATTTGAAAAGCCTGCAAAGAGAATCAAGCCTTTGAACAACTTATATTATAATCGATAATATACAACGCTCTGATTTAGAACTGGCCGTGCTAGAGCAAACACATTTCCAAGGAATTGTCGTGGAAAAACTAACTTGACTAGGGGGCGGGGATAGTGAGAGTTTTTGGCGTCTAATGAAGGCAACACTTATGGAAATACTCACAACAGAAGTCTTAGAGGCCTCAGACAAACGATAAAGCTGAACGATGTTGAAACTGCACCAATGAAACCAGCAAGAGTCACAAAGAAGTCAAACCTGAAAAGAAAGCTTCAGTTTAGTCTACATGGGGAGATACAACAGGAATTACCCTTCAGAAACAAAGTATTAGTTTTTCGTATTAGCATTTCAAATAAAATAGTATCAGTTATCTTTTCTAAGCATCACTTCTTTAACATCCAATGACCTTACACTTAGATGCAAACAGATTAACTAAACCCAAAGCCACAAACTACTCACATATTCCACCCGGAGAGGAAGTACTTCCTAACACCAAGGCCTATCAGTTTGAGTGCAGCTTCGGCTGCGTAAACTGCAAATCAAGACAAGACCAATCCCGTTAAACCCAGACATCATAAGTTAATCTTCAAAACTAGTTTCACCACTTTTACAACAGAACCAAACACTGTCTTCGGCAATCTTCGGAAACATTCCCGATGCTTGAATTGACCTTGCATGACTTGGTTCATTTCCGGAGTATAGTGTACTCTTAGGTCACTCGTACGCACTGGTTCTATTTCGTGTTTGGATAATAATCGGAAAAGTCCGCGAGTGCTTCTACGAACTTTATGTTGTTCAACTATTAAGGAATCAACCCCGACCATACACCACGCGAGTAAAACAACAAGGCAACGACACATCCTGTCCAATAATATTATCTGCAAAACGTTTAAAACAACTCACTCGAAATGAAGACAATATGGTACCACATAAGCTCCTCTCTCTTGTTGGCTCGTTCATTTTGTGGAGTGTCTGTAAATACAACGAAAAGTTCACAAAGGGTTAACAATTCGCCAAAATTCATCTTAAGAAATCAGTAAGTGAAACAGAAGATCAAAGAAAGTAAATTACTTACTGGAAAACACAACAATGTCCACGATAAAAGAAATTCCGTTTGCAATGATGACCGCATCTGTACAAAAGCCACAAAGAAATCTCTATTAGTAATAAAAATCGAAGAGATCATGTCCCTTTGAATCGGGTTAATTTCCCAAATAAGATTTGTAAATAAATAAATAAATCACTGTTACATGTAGTAGCACTTAAGATACGTTCTGAGAATCTTTCCCACACTAGTCAAACATAACCACTCTTAAGCTTGATTAAGTACTAAGAAGATAAAAACGATGTCTGCTGTTGCATGTAGTTATTATTTAATTTGATTCACCTATCAGACAATGGTTAGCCTGCGAGCAGCCTCTCATGAACTGCGTGCGGTACGAGCCCCCGGCGCGTGAAACGAGCCAGCTACAAATGAGAACCTCTCATTTCTCATCTCTCGTCGCTTCGCCGTTCTGGCTCTTGCCCTAAGTTTCAAGAGGTCTTTCAATTGTAAAATGTAACGATAGTTAGTGGAAGTCTCCTCTACTAACTATGATGTAACAGTAAACATTTTGAGAGGACTTACAAATGACGTATTCAAAGGCTTTCTGTGTTATCAGCCATCGGATACCTGTAGAAGAAAAAGAGCCTCTTGTATTAATATTAATTATGTAAATTGCCTGTCTAGGTGACGCAAATCTGAATAACAGGACAGCCCAAGTAGGGTTGTCCACATTATGCTCACTTTTATCACTATTATGCTAATTCTTTATGCTCAAAAAATGTTACTATTATGCACAAAAAGTCCCACTATTATGCTCAAAATTTTCCCCCCGGATCATTCATTTTTTACCTAAAATAAAATACAATCGCCTAATATGCTTATATGGATGATTATAAATGAGTCCCAGACTCCCAGTCGCCCCACGTGGCCACGTCCGTTTCCTGTCGTGAAGTCTGGGGCAGTCGATTGTCACGTATATTTCTCCAAAGGAAATCAAGAATCCCAATTTCGAGATTGTACCTAATTCCGATGTATTTATTTATTTATTTATTTTCGATATTTTGACATATTTCCGGGAATTTTCCTTACTATTATGCTGGCATAATGCTCGATGCTCATGCCTCATTATTATGCTCACAATTATGCCGGCATAATGTGGACAACCCTAAGCCCAAGTGAAGACTACACGTATTTTCTGTCTACTCTCAGGCAATCACTGCAATTTCTTAGTTTCATCATTTAACTTGCAATAATTGTGTTCAATTAAGTATAGAGATATACACAATCTTTTCCCAACATGTCGCATTTTGTGTCCATACCTGCCAATTTATTTCTCAACGTCAAGAAGGAATACAAGAACAGGTGTTGAACAGTTTCAAAGCCTGGATGAAGAGGCAAGCCTGCTAAACAGTTTTCAATCATGTCATGCCCCTAGATTATATCACTATACAACTCAAGCTAAATTTCTTTTTTTCAATTTCTCACCTTTGACTGTTCGGTACAGACAGTTCCAAGACTTTAGACAGATAAACCACTGCTGGTAGTGCTCTGTGATCTAAAAAACACCAACATGCAAGCACCTTTTGCATGAGCTGACAACGCTGTTTCATTTACATGATTTCCTCCTAATTTGTCAGGGTGCACAAACCATCCATTGAAAAGTTGGGGATGTAAGAGGCATTAACAGAAGTCGAAATAGTTTGCAAGTAGATATATATGAAAGATCATATATTTGAACTGCGCAGAAAGATGTGAAGACATGAATGATCATCGCAATCGCAGCTATACTGTATACACAACTTAAGTTGTCCAAAGGTAGATAACACTCATTCACTATCCATCGCTGATTTGACAATCATTGGACTAATGTCAACAAAACTAAATTCAGTTGCCCCTGGGTAGCGATCTATTTGTTGGATTGCATTTGAAGACCCAAGCTGATGCACACTCAGGTAGCCTCAGATACTCTTTATAGGCTTCTCGTGTCGTGTTTTAGAAGATTCCCTGGTAAGCCCAAAGGACATCTGTCTTGCAGGGCAATGTAAAGCGAAACACAAATTGCAGACCATACAGGATAATATTAATTTAGTTCAGGGGACATACTTGCTTCCACTTCATCTCACTGTTTTCAAATATGTGATAAAATTCATCCAGACTAGAAGTAAAAGTGGAAAATGAGGCAACAGTGAGCCAGACAATATAATGTAAAACATGTTTAAACAAGACAGACATGGTTTCATTTAAGATTTATAGATGAAATATCATGAAACATTATTGAACAGTTATCTTATAACATTGCAATTACGATTGGTTCTTTTAGCATGTAAAGAACGCAAATTTGCTGCCCAGCACAGTTGGTTCATACAGGGGATAGGTTTGACTTCTCCTCACTGCAATATTAAGAACAAATGGGGAAATGGTACTTCCCCCTTTCAGTCCAGTACTCATTTTAACACAATCTTGGGAGGAGAATGAGAGGCATTATAACTTCTTGAATTGTTACATTTTTTCACCATTTACATTGTTCTGCATAATTCTAAAAATGTACTTGGCTCATAAAATGTAACAGATTCCAGTTGTAGCAGCTTTTATCATTATACTGTTTTAAATTTGTTTTAATATAAATTACCTCAGTTGTCTTCTCCGACTTGTGTCCAATGACTTGAAAATGAGATATTTCTCCACAAGAGCTAATAAAAAAGAGAAACCTAGCTTAACAATAAGAGTCTCTCTCAAGACAATATATTTTTGATGAGTAAACAGAGCAAAATCACCCAGAAATTGCTCCAGGCAAGCTAGGGCTGGCATACATGTAACCCAATACCAAAATTAGAGAGGTAACAAGAAAAATATAGACAGGCTGTGCATAATATAATAACTGCATATAAATTTATATGCTTTAAAGGGAAAGGTGGGTAGGCTGCCAAAATTTACAAATGCTCCTGTTGAGCAATAGCTACTACAATAATAATAGTAATTATTATTACTATTACTATTACTATTACTATTACTATTACTGTTACTGTTACTGTTACTGTTACTGTTACTGTTACTGTTACTGTTACTATTACTGTTACTGTTGCTATTGCTATTATTATTATTGTTATCATTGTTATCGTTGTTATCATTGTTATCGTTATCATTAATATTATTATTATTATTATTATTATTATTATTATGCAAGTGAATTGAAAAGCTAAGAAATACATTGTACACTTTAGGTACATGAATGCCCTTTTATTGGCCAGTAGAGAGTGTCAGAATCAAATGGTTGCCAGTGGAGCCTTGCTCGTTAAGAAATTTAACTATTATCAACAACATAGATAAGATTACAAATTAAGCTAGTACTAAATCCAGTAAACACAATACCATTGAAGTCCCTGTGCCTTAAGTTTGAAATTTAGAAAAGTATCACCAACAGACTGATGTCACCCCTTAAACATACATTACAACTACATTAAATTTTGTTATTTAAGCAAGAGTAAAATTAAATCTCAGCAGTCATGTTCACGCTTTAGATCTCAATCTTTGCACCCATAATTGTAACTCCACAAAAAAAACTCCTTCACTGCATTATATAAATTCACAGAATAAATCAAGTATCTTTAAAGTGGTGATACTATATTCGACACACAAACATGTTAACAATACGTACTACTTTTGGGTTTGTAAAATGACATCAAACCAATAAATTTACTTAATGAGATCCAGTGCGGAGGCTGTAAAACAAATATACAGTCGCATTATAATACAATTATTATATTATAATAAAAATTGATTTAAAATTTTTAACCCGGAGATTGCATGAGCAATCCAAGGGTTTTAGTGGTGGTGCAGATTATGCAAATGATATCCTTCCATTGTTTGTAAAGTTTTTGCAGTAATTCTGCTGACCAGTAGCTAAAGCTCTTGAAATCATTGTATTAGTTGACATTGCAGGTGCATAGATTATTTTACATTGCACTAATACAAATTTACATAGCCCAGTATGGAGCCGCCATGTTGTACACCAACATGGCAGCCGGAAAATAGTGTAAACATCTGGGGCCTGTTTCTCGAAAGCCCCGAAAAGCCATTTTTAGTTAATCGGTATTTAAAGACAGAGTGGTGTATATGCCTGAAACTTCTTGGAATGGAACCTCTGTTTATATTAAGAATATGTGAATAAAACAGCTCTGTAATCATAAGGTCTGAGATTTTGCTACGGCTTTCCGGGTGCAAAAACTTTTCGGGACCTTTCAGAAACGGGCTCCTGGAACTTACTTTGGTTATCTAGGCGATTGAATATCTGAACTGATCAAGCAAACATTTAAATAAGCACTTTTCCTAACACTTTAACTTCCAAAAGGTTAAAAATCACGAGATAAGTATATATTTTTCGACAAACACGTTCATAGCTTTATGTCACGCACCGCCATAACTCTGAAATTCAAAATGTGCCTGTTTGCAGACAGAGCAAGCTATTGAGCTGAAAAGTTGTTACCAGATATAAATTTACCCCCTCTTATGCCTGATGAAGATAACAACTTTGGTGGCTCTTTAGTTTCAGACTTAAGAAAATGATGACGTCACATGAAACCCTAGAATAACTTACACTTTCAGAGCAGAGTAGCTTGTAAGCCTGCCTAACAGCTTGCCTTGATGTAAAATAGAAACAATGAATGAGATAATATCACACCATGCAACTGTGTCAAATGTATGTAATATTCATAACTTGGATCATCATTGGTTATTATCCCATTCACTCCCGTGCCACCCGTAACCGTCCGTGACAAGCCTTGGCCTTTGTTCCATTTCTGACGTCATCAGCTTTGACCAAAATTGGCATCATCTGTACTCAACTTCTGCAGGAGGAAAAGATCTTTCCAATGATACTCAGATCAGAGTGATGGGCTCAATGGAGCCTGAAATATGCACAAAATTGCTCAGAAATTTGAGTGAAAAACTCAAAGCAAAATTTCTTGCAACTACACTTGGCTACTCCAGGGTAAAAATTGCCCATCTCGATGATGCTTTCTCAGGCTTTTTTTAACTGGAAGCAAGCCCAGTAGAAGGCCAATCACTGCAGCAAAAAGATAAGAAAAGGAAAAAAAGGAAAGGCAAAAAAAAAATAAAACGAAAAGCCTAAAGACGTAGGTCACTTTCTCATCCAAAATCTATCTCGAAATTTTGATTTCTGCGCATGCCTGAGCAAACATGTTGTAAAACACGATGCTAGTGGAAAGAACAGCATGCTGTTATGTTGCACATGCCTTTTTGAGTAGATTGGAGTTCATTTGGCCCATATCCAGCCTGAAAATCTCCAAAATGTCCAAAATTGCGTTTTTGGCAAATAGTTCTGGGAGTCAATGGGTTATTAAAAACTGGATCACTAGAAAAAACAATTCAAGAGTTTTCACTGGCTTAGCCATCATGGTATATGAGCTGTTACATTGTGCTTTACAAATATGGTAAGAGTACACATAGGTTTTTTTTGGGCATTTATGTTTTAGTTTAGTTTTCTACATTGTGGGGGCATTTTTAATAAAACAATTATTCTACTTGCACTTGTTGGATATACATAAGACCACTACAGCCAACTCTGCACTTCATACCTCGTTGGCTATCTACCATCTCATATCCAACGCTCACTCATGGAATAATATTGTTAATATTGTTAATATTTGTTAATATTGTTAATATTGTTAATATTGTTAATATTTGTTAATATTGTTAATATTGTTAATAATTATTGTTAATATTGTTAATTAAGATACTATATTAAGCAGAATTTATCAAAACAGAAGTTTCATATATTATTATGCCTAAAAGAAGAAGTTATAAAAGAATGTTTATAGACCCTTCAGAAACTTGTAATAATTGTAGCTTAGTTGATTGATTCAAGATGATTTTGCTTTGAACACTGAATATTAGCAAATTTACTATGTAAGTAAGTGTGATCCCCTGAGGTCAAGATGTTTTAATGTTCTTGTGTACACTCTGTGCTTGAAAGTTTTCTGACAGCATTAATAAATACAAGACTTTCCTACCTTTTGTGAAGGAACAGCTTTCTAAACTTGTTCTTTTCAATGTTGGTAAATGTGTCATACACCACAGCCAAAAGCTGCAACAAGGGTAGAAAAATATAACAAGTTCAATCATGTATACATGTAAGAACAAGTTCAACCAAGTATACATCTAAGAGTTTTTCTGTTGTGGGCCTATTAACTGATAGCTGCCCACAGAAATTTTATGTTCTAAAAAACAAATGAAAGGAGGATAGAGCTGTGTTTCTTGAGCCACTTTGCTGAGCAGGCACTACAGTTTGGTAGTCATGCATTGCCATTCTGTTGCCTGATAGTGCCAGCACAAGCTCATACTATGCGATCAGTTACGGCCAATCACAGAAAAAAGAAAAATTAATTAAAGTAATAAAAGTGCTGCTGAAACAAAGTGATGGGGAGAGTGCTTGTGGATGTTATTGATGCATAATGAGTACTTTATTTGCAAGCCAAAAGAATTACTGAAAATACTTTATCATACTGTGAAAGGCATATAACCTTACCAAATTCATGAGAAAGTAAAGAACAACTGCGATGTAAACACCAAAATATATGACAGCCCACCGTGACCGCTGATAGGATGGCATCATCACATCAGGATAGCTACAGAGTAAGAAATAAATAAAAGCTTCAGAAAAATGACTTTTTAGCCATATCCAACTCTTTGCTGTCTGCCCTCTTCAACAGACAGTTTTCAAATGTATCAGCTATATTTTTCACTCTACCACTTGCTTTAGTTTTACAACAGGACTTTAAAACCCTTCCCTACCCAGGATGTATACATCCCAGGTTGTGTCACCCAAACACCCAATACATAAAATAATTATAAGTATATCTTCAAACAAAGAAAGTTACTGAGAGCTCAGTTGCTGGCCGTGGCTTGAATAAATTATCCACAGTTGCTGCTGGTTGGAGAGGGTATTTGGCTCTGGTAGGGAAGGGGTAAATAAAGCACTCAACAGTATTGCAATAATGTTAAGCATGAATTAGTCACCTACTTTGCTGTGGTGAGTAAGACAAACAAGCTAATGAAGCTCCTCCAAAAACTGTTGAAAAACTAAGAAACAATGACAAATTAAAGTGAGTTGTTGATAAACACTACTCTAAAATTTGGCAGATCAAATTTCATAATAAAATGATCCCAATTTAAAATAAAGTAAATTTTGTTAGGGTACATAATATTATCCATCTTCAGCTTCTGTTGTTTCTAAAATCCAAATCTTGCCAAGATTTAATTTAAGCCACCTACCATATTTTCTTGATTAAATGCCCCCATCATTTATTTTAAACTTAGCTACAGTGTACGTGGATCAGGTCGTAATTTGATTTCTGCAGTTTATTCAAGACTGGACTTTGTTAGAATTTCTAGACCTTATTTTTTAGAGCTAAATATTTCATAATTTTACCTAAAGTTAATTACAACACAAATATAAATTCCTTAAGGGTATTTATGAATCTGCCAGGAAGACCGGGCATTTATTCAGGACCTGGTGTATAATCAAGGAAATATGGTAAGCCATTGCTGCCATGTTGATCAATACAAAGTCCACTGCCAGCAGCACTTTACTGTAGCTAATGTACACATCAGGCCATACAATATTATGGAAATTTAGGAGGGCAAGACCTGAGCCAAATTGTACAAACAAGTGTATGTTTCATAATACTACAAAGTTGTTAATATTATTTAATTTCTCTCCTAAAGTATACATTTGTATACATGAACGTAATGGCTGTTCAATACCGCGATGAAGTATTTTAATCAAGTATTGTTTACCTCATCTTTTTCATTGTCAGAAAAAAGGTAAAAACCTGCAAATGAACACAAAAAATTAAGTATCAACAAGAATATAAAAGTCAGCATAAAAAACTTCAGAAATTAACTCATGTATAACTGAAGACAGAAGAAAAATATTAGACACCAAATTTTGGACAAATATTGTCAACTGTTTGTCAAACTAAGTAACTTACCGAGCATTGCAAAGATTACCATGATAAAGAGCAACAGGAACAGCATGTCCAAGATTGGTGGAAGTGAGAGCAGAATTTGTCTGAGAACTCTGTAAAGAAATTAAAATCATCATCATCATCATCACCATCATCATTATTCTTTGAGAAGTTCACCAGCGAAAAAGGCACAAATGTAAGCTGATGCAGTACACAAAGGTTCCTTAGTACAAAAATAAAATATACAAGCTATGCAGAAAAAAAGCTCACCTTCTAACCCCAAAACAATAATGAGAGTCTATTAAGAAGAGTGGTCGAAGAGCTCTTGTCACTCGTACATGGTTTTGACTTCTCGCAAGGACAACAATGGCTTCCACAAACACCACAGACAAAACAACAACCTGATGAGTAGGTATGAAGGTTATCAAATAAACATTTTGACTTGTTCAGGATTCGTCACCATGATTCTTACACAAAGAAAAATACAAATTATTTTGAACTGGAATTCATTTTCTGGTTTCAATTTTAGGTTCTGAACCCCACCTATGGAATTTTTTAAAACTTCATGAAAAGTTTAAATCGTTCTTATCAGAATTCAGTAATAAAAAAGGGTTTCAGTAAGTTGCTTTCAATTATAAGCCCTTAAAGCTAGAATTAAGGGTGATTGCATTGAACAGGTCATATTGCTGCTATGGTAACATACTATGCCATGAAGATTATTGCAACTTGTTTACCCATTATTGGGCAGTTATGTGATACATGTACCAATATTGTAACATCCCTTGATAAAGAGTTGTAGTATTGACCCATCAAAGTATGACTGCTGGAAAGAGGTAGAAACTTATCAGCCACCTTTTGTTAAAAATTATTGACCTCTCCGTCCATGCGCGGAAAACATGAATGTGCTACAAAGCATTCAGAAAACTAATTTACAGAATCTTCAAACATGGCAAATCTAGTCAATCTGATAAAATCCTCATGAGAATCTAGCAAAATGGCCCTTTAACACCATCCAAATCAGTAATCTAAATAGAAAGTTTGCTTGCAAAACATTTTCACCAGTCAATAAATTAAAGTTTTGAAGTTCACTTGAAATAAAATTGAAAGAGAAGTTGGCAATTAGGAACCACCTGAAATAATACCATGTGCACTGGACTGTTGTGAAGACTGAATGTTTTCTTGCATTATGACGTTCTCCTGAATATTTGTTGAGTTGCTATGCTTGAATATCACTTGATGCTGCTGCTGATGAACCTTGGTGGTCAGATTTGCTTTATAGATTGATTACATGTAAATCTTTGATTGCCAAGGACATGTCCCGAAACTGCTCAGGATTTCTGATTTAGAAACACTCAGGCACACCACAAGTTTATGCTGGCCATTTTGTTTTTGTTTGGATCATGCATTATTTACCGCATAGGGAGTAAAGACTGCTTAATTAGTCAGAGATAGCAAACCAATCACATTGCTTGAAACACCAAGATCACTGACAGTGTATATTCTAACAATACATATTCCTTTTCTTGTACCTTCAGAAGTGTCCTCTTGTGAGAGAAGAAGAGCTTTGGTCCTTGCCACTTCAGTCTTATAGCCATTCCAGTAGCAATAACAGACAGAGACAAAATTTCCAAAGTTCCATGGACCTAAAATGATTTATCCAGAAAATGTTCCCACATTATTGGTATATAATGAGAGAACCCAACTGTAACTTAGAGACAACTGTAATCATTCATTATCAAAACTGGATCTTTGAATAATACAATTCGAGAGTTTGATTGGCTTAGCCATCATGAGCTATTATACCATGCTCAACAAGTACTTAATTTATATGGTACATGTATATTTTATACATAATTTTTTGGGGCTTTTTTATTTCATTTTTTTTTTTTTTTTAGTTTTCTATATTTTGGGGGCTTTTTTAAAATGAAACAAGTATTCCACTTGCACTTGTTGGATATAAGATGGTTATAGCCAACTCAGCACTACCCACCTAATTTGCTATCTACAATCTCATATCCAATGCGTACCCATGAAACAATTGTTAAATAACCAAATATTCCAAGGTGCTTTTCTCTGATTTGTAAACTTTAGGGGCATCTTGACTGAAAAGTTCCAAAGTATGCCTATTAGTTAGATCTGATCCTGGCATTTTAAGTTGATATCTCTATAAGTGATTTCAAAATGTTGCTGTGATGAACCATATCATTAAGTACTTACAATCACTGGGAGATATAGTGTATCATCTTCAGGTACTTCCCCTGATGCAGGTTTTTCAGTCAGTCCCAAGGCAAGAAGAAAGAGTGCCGCCATCATGTCCAAAATATAGAAAAATGTTGAGTGGGCAATAAGATACCATCGTACTGTTTGACGGGTTGGGTGGGTATCAAACCGGTCATTGTTCTTGCCCTCCTGGAGAAATATGGCTGCGCCCTAAGAGCAGATTGAATGCAGAACCATTGACATAGACTACAAGACAACAGTATGCATCTACGGATAAAATACCAACTCTCCCAGATACAGACTGAATGTCCAAGTCCCCCCACCATGTGGGTAATCAGATCTCCTGGACACGGATGAAAGCCAGTAAAGTATATTTTTCACACATGCTTTGGTCGATTTTTGGTGCTTTGGGGAAAAATGTGGACCTTTGTTAGGTTCGAGAACGTAGAACGCTACAATCTGCTGGATTTCAATTTTTTTTATGTCGGTATCTCTCACAATTTATTACCTGAACTTCTGCTTGCATGTTTTAAATTCATTGAAGATTCATTCATTGATTCTATTTTCCAACCTCTACTTTCCAAAGTGCCAGATACAAATTGCTGCCACCGGACAAAATTGCGTCCTGTATGTACCGTGTTGAGAACTTCAGAATAGTTCCAGAGAACTGAACGATGAGCGATCGACGTCGACAGCCGTAGGCACGCCAGGCACGCGCGTACAGCACTTACCTGATAGCGATAGTAAACGTCTGCTGCTTCCATGCCTTCGTTAACCACAAGAAACGTTCTACATACTGCCAAAAAAAGTAGAAAAGCTTTTAGGTTCGAACAACATCACATTGACAGGTTTGACAAGGTCCGAACCGGAACTGTTTAGTTAGGCATTAACGAACGTGAAACACGAGCTCCTTTACTTTCAGAAAGAGTCAAATAGTAGTTGCCATCTGTCTTCCATTTCAAATGTTGCTCAAATTGGTAAATTCTTCGCAAGTAACTTCTCGTTACCACTTTCCTTTTCGCTTTCCTTCTAGACTGTTACTCTGTCTTTTCGTCTCTTCGTTTTGTTTTGCTTTGTTCTCGGGCAATGACCCCGGTTAGGGGGGGGGGAGGGGGGTGGTACTCCCTTTTATCGGCTATACATAGGTATGTGCGGCCCCAAAGGGTAGGGTTTTTCAGCCGTTTTGGTCATAAAGGGTATCGATTTTGGCCGTTTTGGTCTTAAATAGGGTATGGTTTTAGCACTCTAGTCTTCAATTGGGTATGTTTCTTGGAAGAAGCTACTTTTTCATCATTATCAATAAGACCGTCAATGAAAGCCCTTCGTAACTTACGTTTAGGGCAACTGTGCCAGCCACAACGGTTCATAAATAGGGTATCGAATTTTTGGCCAGGTCATAAACAGGGTAGCAAAACTCGCAGATTTTGGTCATAGATAGGGTAAGGCTTTTTGGGAAGTGGGCCGCACACCCCCACCCAACATTTCTGGGAGTACCACCCCCCCGGTAATTGACGCAGCACGATACTTCTGTGGTGTAACAGTAATAAATCGACTACGTGCTGTTAGGTCAAGGTAAAGGTAAAATCTTTATTTAGACACGGTATTTCCTTTAGGACTATACAATATTTGATTTAAATAAATCTAACTACCTAACTAATTTAATATTGTAAATAACTACTAGAATAAGAGAAATGATAAAAACCTGCTTTACAAGGAAGCCGTGTATAAAAACAAAATAAAATTTATATAAGACCACTGTCAAAATCATAGTTCTTCAACTTAGATTTAACTTGATTAAGGGAGAGCGATTGTCTAATATTCAAGGGCAGACTATTCCATAGTACAACTCCGCTGTAAGAAAGACTTTTTTTACAGTAATTAGTGTGGGGCTGTGGGATAGCAAGCGTACCATCACTATCTCTTAGCTTATAAGTCAAAGTATCGGAACGGAAGACAAAGCGTGAAC